TCTGGGTGCTGCTAATCATGCCATCATGTACCATAATGCAATATGCTAATCACGCCCAAAAGGCGTGTCTCGCTTTGTCGACAATAAAATATTTATTTATTTATTTAAAAGTGCGGAGCTACAGGGTGGCAGATAAGTCTTTAGAGCGTTAGATGTAGGTGGAAAACCAGAGCCGAAGAGATAAGTGAATGAGTATTGAAAGATATCATAACAGCCGTATACATTTGTCCCAACCTTATGTGTGTCGTTGCAGCCCAAGCGTCCTATATTGGTCCAATGGTTCATTGGGTTGTAGTGAGCAGAGGAGAACATTGGTCAGTTCTGTCGGTTCCTACTCATTGTGGGATAGCTGCCTGTCTAGGTGTGATAACGTTCCTGGTTGGTTTGTCGCAGTTGCAATTGGAGCAACAAGATCTTAGCCTCTTCGTTAAGTGTTCTGAAAGCCTCGAAATATTCCATCGAAGGCGCGTCAACGATTCCGGTAGGTAAACTTTTCCACACATTCAGCACCTGAGTGGACAGGGTGAGGTTCGAGCGAGCTGATGCCTTCGTGGGTGTAACAGCTTTTATTTTTCGCCCTGTGTCAAGTAGTCGGCGTTTAGGTGGAGTAATTGCATTGAGTTAATTCCCTGTTCACCAAGGAGAATGCGTCTAGCGTAGACGAGATCGCGGCGGCGAAAGTTAACCTCCAAGGAAAATAGATTCATTTAGTGAAGTCAGGGAAGTTAAGAAACATCGTAGAGCCCGATGATATCTTCCCAGGCACGCGTCTGCGCGTTCTCTATCAGCGAGCATTTTAACTCAAAAAGGGGAAAATGGCTGGTTTCCTATGTTCAAGTATGCAACATACGCCAGCGGTGCATGGAAGTCGGGAGATCTCAAGCGTCATTCGGGAGAACGATCTTTTCATAGCACGTAGAATTATCTTTGCAGCCGCAACCTTCTTCAGCTTGTCCTGGGACGACCTGATTTCAGAGGATACGATAAGCCCGACATCCTTTCGGTGCATAGTGTTCTTGAAAAGAAATCCACTAATTTAATACGTTCCCTATGGGTCAGTGTCATCTATTTGGAAAGCCACACATTTATCGCGAGTTACTGGCAATCGCCGCTTGGCAGACCACTCATGCAGTCTACCTATGGCCATTTGTAATTGTCGGCATCGGCTAGGCTGTATACTGTTGTCCAGAGCTTACGACCATCAGCGTAGCCTGAACAGTTGCTTTGGAGTGCAACCAAGTCATTTTTGTGCACTATAAAACTCGGGTTTAAGTACGGACTCTTGTGGAACCACACTTGTCATTGGCAAAGGGGCGGATGTGCTTCAATTGTCCTATACGCGTAGGCCGTGGCCTCTTAGGAAGTCAGCGGTTCAGGCGAGGGCCTTGTCTGTCACACCCATCCCCTGAAGTTCGAGCAGCAGTCTTCGTTGAAGGACTTTGTCCTTGGCTATGCTGAAGTCGTTGAAGGGCACGTCAATAGGTTGTTGGGCATCTATGACTTGTACCTAATCTTCGATGGCGACTAGCAAGTTAGACTCAGGAATGTGATTTCCGGAAACTTTGCTGGATTGGAGTAGTTCCGTCCTTGTTCTTACGGTGTAGCTGGAACTCGAGTTTGCTGGTCCTATCCATGGTTTTACAGGCAACAATGCCTGGTAGATCAAGCGATAGAGCGCCTTGTCTCAACGCTTTCCGCCCCTGTTCTTAGGTATCACTAAGCCTCATTTCCAGTCCTTAGGTAAACAGCCGACTTCGAAGAGGTGGAGAAACACTTGGCAGAGGTAAGCAGTGACCTATTCGGTCATAGTATTAAGAAACACGGGATGCAGCTCGTCCGGACCAGGGTAGGAATTAAAGTCGAGTTAGAGAAGGAGCTTCATCACCAGTCCTATATTGGTTTCGAAATTCTCAAAATAAGGACACTGTGCGGAGCGCAAGCTCCTTTGCAGAAGTGAATGCACTGTGTAGGCAAAGGGTTACTGCTAGTCTAATATGTTGGATTTTGTCGTCATCGTGGAGGGGCCTTGCGCTTTACGTCAGCTGCGAACGTGACGTTTTGCGTATCGACATGTTTCAGTCGGCAGATAAAACTGTCGTAGCGTTCTCGGTAGTGGTTAGTATTTCTTCAGCTCAACTTACAGTTGTAATTTTGTATAGACGCCCTGGGAGGGTGTCCAACGAGGTGCTTGACTTTGTTCGCTGCCAACCTGTAAACAAGTGTTTGATATTCGGTCCCTTCAACTTACCGGAAGTTCGCTGGGCAGCACTTCCTTGAAACTCGGCGGAAGGTACTTTCGGTGAAGATGTACTTGAGCTTAAGCTACGAGTACCGTTGCCTCAGTTTGTGCACCAACCCACTAGGTACAGGGACGCCCAAGTGCCAACTATTTTGGACCTAGCTTTTGCCAGCACTAGACTTCCTAGGTGATTTCACTTACGACTGTCGCTTAAGTGCCAGGGATCACCGCTATTTATCATTCAACTGTGCTCTGACCAGACGTCACCAGCTCATCATTGAGCCATAGCCAAACATATAGCTTGCTGTATCTCAGGCAATGCGTAGCAAGGCTTCTGGGTTGCGTTGTAAACTCTCGGTGGCCTATTCTGTTCAGGATGCCTTGGATAAGTTTATGCCTTTTTCACCGAAATGCCTGCTTCTTACATCCCACTTGCGAAGCGAAATGACATCAGTACGGCCCGGCGGCCAGATACTACTGTCAAGTACTTGCTCCAGAAGCCTTCTAAAAGCTGGAGGACCTACCGTGCAGCACCATCAAGTAGCACCTGTGTTAGGTACCGCGAGGTTAGTAATAGCTGTAAACAACACTTGAGGAAAGGTCGGCTGTTGTATGAAATGGAACTTTCTGATGGCGCTTGAGGAAACCTAAGTTCTTTGCTTATGTTAAGAGTCACCGTGGTTCAAATTCTGTACATCCAACTTTGATGCAGGCCGATAGAGCTCATGCGTATGCGGACTCTGAAAAGGCTCCTGTACTTGGTGAGCTGTATGCAGGGACTTTTGTTCATGAGGCCTCCTTGACTAGCGTGGAACTTGTCCCCAGATTCATTGAGGGTTCGTATTTAGTTGAAATTACGGTGGCAAAAACGCAAGTGCTTAAGCTGCTGCAAGAACTGAACCCTACTAAAGCAGCTGAGCCTGATTCAATTCACCCGAAGCTTATGCATGCGTTGGTAGTGGAACTAAATGGACCGCTGACGATGATGTTTCAGGTGTTACTTGACAGCTGCACATTGCCTTCTGAGTGGTAGGTGGCCGTCCTCTTTTCTATCTAAACATGGCGACAGAAGTCTGTCGGCCAATTATAGGCCAGTCAGCCTGACTAGCGTCGTGGTCAGACTGTTTGAAAAACTGATGAGGTATGCTTTGCTAGTTCACTTGAAAAGATTTAATCTACACAATAGTGCAGGACACGGATTAAGGAAGCGGTTTGCATGCCTGACGAATTTGTTGGTTGCTCGTGAAGTTTGGGCCGAGACAGTGAACCGTGAGTACGTAGTGGATGTGCAGTTCGTTCACTTTTCCAAATCATTTGCTAAGGGTACTCCTATTGATGCCATCACAAACGCTGAGCACCTACAGTGTATCTGGCCGCGCCCATCACTGGGTATCTGCCTTCTTTAAGGGAAGAGAGTAGTGTGTACGTGTGTGTCGCGGCTTATTCTTTAGCTAAGCGGTCCTTAGCTGTATCCCGCTGCTTTCGGTCTTTGGCCCGATGCTGTTCTCCGCCGGCGTAAACGATTGTTATGTTTAGCTGATGGTCATAAGCTATGGAATGTGTTAAAGATCCTTGGGGGTCTCAGATATATCAGCATGAGCTGGACAGAGGCTGGGACCAGTCTGCTTTGTGGTTACTGCCCAATACTCAGTATGTTCCGTCCTTTGCATGGAAGCAACCTTCCCACCTTCGATGTGCGTGCACTGTGTGTTTGAACTTCGCTTGTCCCAGACCAAGTAGACCTAAGCTTTGTCTATTTCTTATCTTCCACGCTGGAGACAACTGGAAGATGGCCGCTGGTAGGTGTTTTAGAAGGTTGTGGTTAATACGCCGTTCATTCGGGGTCTTAACTGCCGGCAATTTTGTGAAGTTGTTCTCAGCTTTCGTCCAGCTTTATTTGGAATATCGCGTCCAGGCCTGCCCGCCCGGCCTTGTTTGGGACAAAATGGAGCTCGAAACTAGGTACCAACTTGGTCAAGGGGCTGCGGAATCATACGTATCCCGCGCATCTAGTTACCTTGCGTATGTATTTGGTGCACTACCAAAGGCTTCGAGGAGACCTAATCCTTCCCGCCTTCTAAGAGGGAAGATTGGACTGGACTTGAGATGGCTATTTAGCCAGGCCAGCTAACCTTGTCTTCGCGGTCATCACTTGAAGATACACAAGCCGCCATGCGATCGAATCTTGTATTGTGTAGGGTACGCGAGAGCTAGAACTCGCCTCCAGAAACTGTGGTAAGTGAACTTACGATAAAGGCTTTCGAGCGTTATCGAGACGCCCTTGGCTAGCAACACGAAGTCTTCCCTTATCCTGACCCTATCCATCTTCTAACCTTGCGTTCATGTTCTGTCATTCTCCCCAAGACTTAAGGTTACCCTTCATTAAAATGTCTTCCTTTCCCGTTATCTTCTATCTTCGTTCTACGTCTTTCTTGCTTTACGTGCTCTACACAGTAACGACTACTAGTGCGGGGAACGTGGGCAGTTAGTTGTTTGCCAGTGTGTAGTTCGGGTGTTTTGTTTAGATTCATCAAGACCTTGTAGCACCGTATCATATCTGGTTCAACGATCTGCCCAAGAAGGAACCCTCAAGGTATTTTCCTACCATTCCTGTCCCATCTGTATCTGAAGCACAGTGTCTTCCTCCAAGAGCAGCGTAGAGATCCCACTACGTGCCCTAAAATTTCTTTTCAGGTATAGAAAGAGTATATTGGACAAGTTAGCGATACAGTGGCTAGGCTGCGTTCGTACTGTAGTCGCTCGTTGCGCTTGTTCTGGGTATAACGTATGTTTGCGACCTTGTACGCCAAGTAGCTTAATGCTAATTATGTAGACTTGTGATCTCACAGTTTTATTGCTTTTTTAAGTAAGGATCTGATTTCTCTATCAATCCAAGGGGGACTTTAGATTGCGGTCTGGCTTTGCACTTTGGAATGTGCTGTGCAATAAGCTACACCACCTTGTTTCGTAGCAGCGGTCAGGTTGCGTAGAGCTCCAAAGACTGCGGAATACTCTAATCTAGGGTGTTTGCCAGTGCTTTAAGTCTGAACCGCTCGGCTCTCCAGCAGTTGCGACTGTGACCCTTGGGCAGGAATTATAAAGCATCGCGTCCACTGGACGTGGTTAACAGAGTGGTCACTCTTGCGTAGCAAATGTAGGATCGTTAAATTGGGACGTCAGCTACAGCCGGAGGGAGCACTAGGTCTAGGATGTAATATCTTTGGTCCGGGTGCAGCCCTGTGGAGGTTAGACTTGCTGCGTGACGTTACATTCGAGGAGGATATCTAGTATACAAGCTTCAAAGGACTGCCTGGGGACGGCACAAAGAAGACCGTCCCAGTTGATTTCGGGGACAGTGAAATCCCCCAAGAGCAAACCGTGTGTGCCCATTACATTATTGTTTACTAAGTGCGGAAGGTAGAAGACACATAATGAAGGAAGCCTGTAGGCTACTCCGCCCGTCAGCGTCTGGAAACCCTGGTGAAGTCGACAACAGAATACTTTTCACGTATTATCGTTGTCGCAGACCGTTTTAAGAACGTTGAGGTAGGATGTTGTATAATGGATTACTCCACTACTAGGCTTCCGTTTGGGGCGATCAGATCGAAAGAGCTGATAACCTGGAAGTTGCAACTCTGGGTCTGAACTCTCCGCTGATAACCAGGTCTCGGTGAGCGCCATCCGATCCGGTCGCTGCGTTAACATAATTAGTTGTATCTTACCTACGTTGTTACTAAGACGAAGCACGTTCACAAGTATTGCAAGTAGGCCAGAGCTTACACTTGGGGTCCAGGGAGCAAAAGGTTTGGCCACCATTGAGCTCTCGGAATTTTCTGCACTTCTTGGAGATCTGGGATTGGACTGATGAACAGTTTTGGCCCAAGACGGACGCAACAACCCACATGGACTTACCTGGAGCATGGCAGAACTCCGAAAGGACCGAACTACAATCACCACAACCCTTGTCCAGTATGGAGAACTGGACATATCATCATACTCCCATACATTATACATCTGAAAAATCTGGACAGCGGAAAAGTTGAACTTTTGCTCACCTGGACATACAACAGGAAGAATAAGCGCGATGTCCCTCTCCTCCACCGACCTCAAAAATCATGGCGACCCCGATCAAATTACCTGTCCAACTAACAGAGGAAATTAGAAGCCATTAATCTGAGAAAAACCGAAGGTAAAACTAGTCGTCAAGCGGCTTTGCCAGTTCAACTTTAATGTTCAAAATGCTTTACGGCAGGGTTGCAGGACGTGGTGGGTTTTTGCCTGGCAAGCGTTCTCCCTATAAAAAGCCACAAATGTCTGTTTAACAACACTGCGACGTGGCGGATGTGACTCGCCACGGAATAAAGTCACTGCCCACAACTACATACTGGCAAGTCGACTAGACTCACACATAAACTCTTCCCGACACCGTTTCAACTACACACGATGGAACCCGATGTATCGTCGTGATACACATCTGTTTTTAAACCTTGATCATGCCTGCGTTGGTGTGTCTCTATGAAACTGAGAATAAACTATTTATTTATTTATTTAGAAGCTATGCTTGTATGCATATTTGATCACGCCTTTACAGGTGTGTCTCGTTTTACCGAGAATATACTATTTATTTATTTATTTATTTAAATCCACAATGTAGAGATCAGTTTTGCCATTGGCTCGACGAGTTCGAAGCGCACTAAGAGCTTGTCTTATTTTGCCTCGGTTCTACAGGAAGAGGACTTTCAGAACACAAAAGCTTTCCCCTTTGCGGCATGAAGCCATTCTCATGATGCGCCGGAAGTCTTCCTCGTCCTGATAAAGCTTTTACAGCTGGCGCAAGTTAGACGGATAATCCGTTTAGTACGATGGCGAAAAACAGAGAAAAGGTTAATCTCCTGCTTGCCCTCGTCATACAGTTTTGCTACCATTCGCTTGAGGAAGGCTTGAGCATCGAGTATCCTCTCAGCAGCTGTGATTGTGCTGGATTTAGGAACGTTAGTGATGATCAGGTAGCGAGCGCAGGGCGGAGTGCTTCTACCCAGGGAGGATGAACGCTGTTTGAATTTCTACGTTCAAGCTGCTGTTCCAATTGCGCTACCCTGTCAAGTACTACTTTCATCCCCAGGTTTGCGGTGTCAGGCCTTATCTTGGGCTTAGAAGCCAGCTTTTGTAGGGACTTGTTTGCAGCTTGTCTCAAGCTGGGTGTTAATGAAGCTGTGGCGCACGCCACGGCAGCAGGCCCTAGTATAATTAACATACTTGTCCTGAAAGGAGCACCTTGATAATGGAAACAGTGGTATAAGTGTAATATGAAAGAATATTATCGTGAATAAAGGATACCCTGTTGCCAAGATTGACCGAAACACGTCCAACCGTTGTCCGAAATTCGTCCGATGAGTGAATGGAAAGGCGTCCGAAAAAGCTTTCGATGAAACAAAGTTCAGCCGTGTTTTGGCCACAGATAAATATTTTAGCGGTGGAAGCCTTTCATACTATATCATTCCAAAAATTCCCCCCAAGGTACACACTTTGACAATGCTCCCTTAGTGCGCTTGACGACGGCACGACAGGCAAGTTAACGCACTCACATTCGTCATGCTCACCTTTTTAGAGGATAATTAATTCATGTTTGTAACAAGGATACATGTAGCGGCTCCTGAGTGTCACCAGTGCATTCTCTCACAAGCTGCCTCCATCAACGTAATTTCCGCACAATGATGGCTTCCGTGCATCCAGCGAATCACGCAGGCAGTATGACAACTGCACGTACGGTAGCAAATGCTTTTACACAGCCTACTAATAGTTGCTAAGGAAAAAGATGTCCTGGCGACACCGAACTTGTCATGCCTGCCCCGATGGTTGAGCTATTCAACATGGCTGTTGGTGAGGCAAGTCGACCTTATATTTTGGACAGGTTCCTAGACACCGTTCTTGCATACCTGCGCCAGAAATGCAACCTAAAACATGCATTAAACAAATGAAATCGGGCTTCTGCAACTCACTGTTCATTAGAATAATCGCCCTGATCTTTCGGAGTGAGAAAGGTAAGAGACAGTACACTAGGCTGCTCACACTGCCATGCATAGTCAGTGAAGGAACTTGCGCCACCATCGGTCACTCAATCGACCCACGGT